TCTGCGGTCCCGAAGGTCAACTAGTGAACAAGGTTTTTAGGTGGAATGCTGGGCCAATATATGGGTGCCGAGTACGGGGTCCAGGACCTAACCGGAGCCGCCGCACAAAGCGCCCCAGGTCCGTTTTTGGCCATCGAAATAACTGAACTGCGTTGCTTTAGGAGCGATACTGCAACAGAGGCGCCTGCTCGGAAGTTCGCGGGACCATCCCTACAAACAGTAAATGAGAGATGGTAAGCTTTTTCTCGTACGAAAATGCTATATTCAAATTTTAATTTGATTTGATATTGCGTAAAAACTTGTAGATGAGGTGGAAAGGAAATCGGTAAGACTCCCCGGTTGGAAGTTCCCCAAGAATTTTCGCCATAACTTTTTTATATTACATGATTTTGGGCTGTAATTAAAACTCTGAATATATTTTTTGATGCTCTATCGAATGGTGTAGTCAAAATCCCGACAAAATCACAAAAAAGGCAAAAAAATTTTGGAACATGGCCTGGGAAGGGGTAAAGTAAGGTATAGCAAACAGATCTTCTAAATTCGAAGCAGAGCTTGTCGCAAAATAGCGCAGTAGGAGATCCAAAATCGAGACGCCGTCCATTTTAGTGGATTTTTTTCAGGGTCCTCACCGACTACATCAACCCCTAATACACACCAAAGATCCAAAAAACCACTATCTTCATCGCCGGCCTCTTCTCGATTGTACAGCTGCTGTGTGTGCTTCTGCCCGTCTAAATATTGCCCTCCGCTACCTATCCCCCTCCTACCCCCCAGATTGGATAAGTGCCTTGAAAAACGTTCAGTGCCCTTGAAAATACCTTTTTAGTCATTTGCCCCTCATTTTCCCCCTTGATGTGTTTTGTCTTGTGATTCTGGTCACTTTGGCGCTGCTTGGTGCCCTGTGCCGCTAGGGGCTCGATGACCCCAGCGGCTTATCTAGGGCCACCCCCACGTTCAAAATGGGTATTTCTATTCAGCTCTGCATTTTCGCTTTGATCAGGTTGGTGATCCCCTCAGCGGCCCTGCTCAACCCAAAAAACGATTGCAGCCTGATCAATCTATTTTCGTAAAATTCATCATTTTTGTGGTGCGCTTTTGTGTGAAATTCGAATAGATATCGGATTGTTACCCCAAAGGTGTCGCCGCGAAATTCGGGCCGCGCGTCATGCTCGGAAATTTTGCACGACCCCGAGGACAAGCCCCCAATCCTGATCGCCACCCCCGAGATTGTCTATCCGTTGCTCATTTTCCCTACTTCAGATTTTATTTTGCTTCGCCCCTATTCGCCCATCAAATCAGGGTGCTGCCCCCCATAATAGTTGATTATGCGAATTTATATGTGCATAAATTTTTAAAGTCTATTAACAGTGCAACAATAATAATACTACGATTCGAAAAGCCATCTGTAGCTAATTAAACATAAAAGGAGGAACAATTTCAGTGTAAACAGGCCAAAAAAGGCAATTTGTGGCAGGGGCAAAAGCGTCCATAGGAGCCGGGCGTAGCGCACGCCAAAGGTGAAGCTGTTATAACCTTTTTAAACCGACTTTATATTGAAAACTCAATATCAATTATTGAAGAGGAGAATTTTATAGTTCGAATGATACCAAAGACAGCAAAATAACCCTACGAAATACCACTTTTCACAAAATCATAAATCGCCCAGGGTTTGATACTTTCTGAATTCGATTTTCTTGGTGCTTGATATCATTAGAATCGCCGTGTTCCGTTCTACGACATTGACACAAGCTTTTCGAAAGATTCTCTTTAGCTTGAATGTTATAAGGCTTAGAAGTTTTGGCTCCATACATTTTTGAGTCAGCAGGAGTGGCGCGTTGCTTAGGGTTTGCTAAATCTTGGGATTGTGCCGCAGATCACATAGCTTGAAAGATGAATTTAACTCTTCACGCAAGCTGATGTAATATTTTTAATATTCTCGATTGTTCACGCACCCAATTTCCCCTTTAAAAAGTATTCTTGTAAAACGTACGTGCTGGTCAGCAATGCAATCACGCAATGGGTATCCCGTACCTTGGCCCCCGGGGCTTCAGTGTAACAGGATGGATCAGGCCACTGTGAACAGATGTTTCAAACCGTCGAGTTGAACCTATTTATTGCGCTCATCTCTCGGGGGGTCTGGAGCATTCTTCCCACCACAACTACACTGAAATGCTCGCGAATCCAGGAATTCTATTCAGCGCCCTGATTATTGGGGCGCTGGCGATGGAGGGCGGTACGTTTCCGGCTTTTCGGCAAACTGAGCACCTTTATTAGGCGTTTTTGCAGGAGTTTTTTACTTTTCGATTGAAAATACTTTACAATTTAACGGAATAACGTTTTTAAATATTGACGCTTTATAAAGCTTTTAGTTTTCGCAAAAACTTCTTTACCGTTATATTATCTTAGCCGGCAATGGTTGTTAGAACTTTTTGGATGTTGCAGAGAGTTTTGCTCTCGTAGTTGCCACGTTTTTTGCGACGGCCAAATTTTTTTGAAGAAGATTTGAGCTTTTTGCTTTGAAAGGACTTCGCGTTTTAAATTGAAGGACATTTCAAATTCGCGAATAACAACGATCGATTATGCATAGCCAAAAGAACGCCGAAAACCCCTCAAAACAAACGCGGCAAAGTACAAGAGCCCCTGAAAGCGATGACCTCTCTTTTCATTGATTTACGACCATTTCGAGACTCACGAATAGTGTTATCGCGCTGTTATTCTTTTGGTCGGTGGTCAGGTCCTCTCCCCCCTCTCTAGTTACGTGCTCTCTGCGCGGACGACAAACTACAAGGTTCTTTCACATCATACCACCAAAATATCTGGAGCTCTATTATTGAAACAAAAGGCCTGTTTTCGTTTTAGTTTTCAATTTTTAATTCCTTTATTTCAGCTTTCGCCATGACTTCCTACACATTCCATGGGGTCACCGATACTTTGACGCCCGAAAATGAAAAGGTTTTTTGATTTTATAATATCAACTAAAAAGAATTTAGTATAAAGTGGCGCTCGACACTGCCGCAGCCGCGTTTGAAGATGCAGAAAAACTACTGAATGACGCTTCTTTTGAGGTAGTTAAATGGTAGTTATTTATAATTTTTATTTCGTAGAACCGAGACGGGTGGAAGGAGGACCAAACGACCGATGATGGGGATATCGTCTACGCCAAGCACACGAAAGAAGGAACAAAGATGGTGACTGTTAGGGTTGGTTGTCCTTTTGAGATATAGAATTTCCTTGATTTAGACCGTGCTACCGGGTAAAGCCGACGATGTGATGAAGGAGACGTGGACTGGGGCGGCTACGCTTCCCGAATGGAACCCGAACATCGATTTCGCTTCATCGGTTGCCACACTTACTGACCATGTTGATATTCTTACAGTAAGGTTTCTGCGAGCCACAACAATTTCAATTTTAGTACGGAAATAATGACGTGTTGATCGTCACCGGTCGCGAATTCGTCTCGGCGAGGTAGCGAGAAGCTTTTGGAAATGAAAAATTTGTTTAGGCTTTACCGGAAAGTAGGAAATGATTACATTATGGCATCGCGCAGCGTCGATTTGCCCCAGTTGAAGGTGAAGAAGGGCAAAGTCAGGTAGATTCATTTTATAATCTCTCTTGGGATGTGGCACTGACTCGTCTATCGGCACCTTTCAGGGCGTGGCTTCATCTGGCGGCTGCACGTTTCCGGCCTGACCCGACCGATCCGGAAAACAAAACACTAACGGATGTCGTCATGCACGTCGATTTGAAAGGGTTGCTGCCGAAGATGCTTGTGAATCAGGTTTGAAATGATTGCTTTGAAAAATGTATTACATACATTCTATCTTTCCCAGCTTGATTAGTGACTAGAGGCTATTGTTGCATTTTCCAGGTCGTCGGACGCATCATGATGATGGACGCCGAGCAGAACAAGAAGCACTTCACTGAGCTGAAGAAGGCAAAGGATGCTGCCGCTGCCGGGCAATAAGTTCCAATTTTGGACATCATTTCTGTGCTATATTGTTTTGTGCCTTGCCGCCTGAAAATTATCGGGTCGAGTTTTTAGAATAGTCTGTGTTTTTCCGGGATTAGTTTTGATAAAAATTCTATGAATTGACTAAGACAGTAGAGAAAGTGATTTTATTAACAAAAAAATCGTAAATTAATCGGTTTCGGCGGGACAATCGTAGCTAGCGCTCCGTTTCAACAGCGGCACCTATATACGTGGTAATTATTCTTTAAAAACACCTTTTCGCCCCGCTCCTTCTTGGCCCATGCTTCAATGTGGTCAATCATCACTGGCTCTGACACGATATTCTGGAAAAATGGCTATCCTACTATATAAAAAAATGTTTTTTTTTTTTGGGGGGGGGTGTGGTTTTCTTTTTTTTTGTGTTCCTTCCGGGGGTTTGGGGGGGTGGTTTTCGAGGGGGGGGGGGGGGGAGGGGGAGATTTTAATAATTTTGGTGGGGGGGGGGGGGGGGGGGGGGGGAAAAAAAAAAAAAAAAAAAAAAATTTTTATGGTATAAGGGAAGAAGGTAGGAAAAATATTATAAAAAAATTTTTTTTGTCTGTGGTGGGGGGGGGGGGGGGGGGGGGGGGGGGGGGGGGGGGAGGGGGGGGGGGGGGGGGGGGTAACTTATATATAGAATTAAAAAGGGGGAAAAAAAGGGAGGGGGGAAAAGGGCAGGGGGGGGGGGGGGGGGGGGGGGGGGGGAGGGGGGGGGGAGCCCCGAACCGTACAAGACAAAATATGTCCACCTTATTAATCCATGCGGATTCCAGGCATTCCAGGGCCGACGGTCGGCTTCTAAATTTATCATAAAGGAGCGCGAAAACAGCATACGCCTTTGAAGACAGCAGTTGGGTGATAAGGCTGCCGAGTTCTGGTGAGAACTTATTCGTCGTCGAAGCGCGTCGGCTTTCTCGCTGCTTTTGGTTTGGCGTTGCGCCCCAGCTGAGTAACGATAAAATGGCACCGTAGGACCTGTATCGATCATAGATCGTGCTGAACAGGATTTTTACCAGAGGTCGGCCGCGTTGCTGGGAGGACCAAGCTTTTCGTCAGGGCTTCGGAACTGTGGGTCCCCGTCAGACCAACTGCAATCGGCGGCGTTGATCTAGATTTTTATGCTATTTTTACTATTCCTAAACGTGAAACCTTTACAAATTTTTTCAACGCATTTTCGAACATATCGATTTTTCGACCAAAAACGCCGATTTTTTTAATCAAAATTTTTAAAGTTTTTAGATAGTTTTTCTAGTTGAAATATAGTTAGAGATTACTAAAAACACTATAAAAACACTTTCTATTAAGTTACTGGGCATTTCTAGGTTATACAAAAAAGTCCGGTCCCCCCCGATAATGCGAAAGAACCGTAGGCTTTCACCAACCTGCTGAGCGCATCCAAAATCTATCAACGTCGCCCTGTTGTCGACAAGGATATTGTCAGGCTGAAATTGAACGGAAATTTAAATTCTACATGAATTCGGCAGGCTTCAAGCCGCATCGCGGTACTTTGCCAACAAACCTTGACATCGAGGTGGACAATGCCGAGCTGCTGCAGGTAGGCAAGGGCGGAGAAAATTTGACGCGAGATTTGTTGTAGAATACCTTCCGAGAGGTAACCAAGCTGGCAGATAAAGCTGACAATGTCGACGCCGGGTACCCTAAGGTTTTGGAATCGTTTGAACTTTGCAGTTACATTGTCATTCCAAGTTTCAAGTTCAAGTAAAATTCACCTCTCGACGACGATCACCAATCCCCGGTCGGAGCGGAAGGTGCCCTCGAAGTTCGGCAGGTTTGGGTGCGTTAATTCTGCGAAGAAATTCAAAACATATTTTAAGAAAGATTCGGTTCTTTCGCATTTTCGGGGGGACCAAATTTTTTTATTAAGACCTCATTTTTCAAATATAAGTAGTGACAGTGTTTCTAAATGGCTTTGTACTATTATTTAACGTGAAAACTTGTAAATTTTGTATTAAAAACATCAAAAATATGGATTTTTCTACCAAAAAAGCGATTTTTGACCAATATTTCGAGTTGTTCAACTTTTTTTAGAGTTTTTAGATAGTTTTTGTAGTTTAAACATAGTTATATATTACTAACAACACTATTAAAACACGCTCTATTCAATTACTAGACATTTTTAACATTTACAAAAAATGTCGGTCCCCTCCCCCCGGATAATGCGAAAGAACCATAACATTCGCTCACGCGACAATATCTCTGCCTCACGCGCCACGTCATTGGAGTTCCGTCGGGCCGCGTAGACCTTTGCTGCGTATTTTCTAAATTAGCATCTTAATCCGCAGGCTACAAGTTGTCTCACCGACTGGACCCGGCCAATTTCTTCGCTTCAAAGACGAACGCCGTCCGACCGCAGCCGAGCAGCTCGGAAAAGACGAAGCTCGCCTCAAAAATCGGCAGCGATTCCTGTATTTATATTTTCGGCGAGATGCGTCGTTACTACCTGAGACTCCTCGGAAAAATCGAGCACCAGTGATTCGGACGGCGGTCCTCGACAACACAGATTTGAGGGGACGACGCGGATTAGGTAGCGCATCGGGCGGAAGTTTCTAAACAGATTCGGGGTCAAGCAAAGAAACGTTATAGTGCTTCAAAGGCCTGCCAATCAAATCCCTGGCTTGGCCCCACCTCAAGGTGACGCTTGGCTTCGTAATCCCGCTCCGCGCACAACGGTATAGTGGAGCTCCTGAAAAGCGTAAGGAGACACTGGATGGCGAGTCTTCAGAAACGACAAGCTAGCCGAGGCTTTGATCGTTCGTGAAGCCCCGCCGAACGTCCGTACCTTCACGCGTGTACTCGACGCTGTACTGGCAGTGCGGCTGATACTGCCAACTCAGCCGTATCGAGTCACGTCCCGTCTTTTCAATTTGCACGCCTTGCGGTGCTGCCGGGCGGCCAAGTACCGTAACCTGAACGCGCACAATTTGGCCTGGCCGCTCGACAACCTACTATCGCCTCCGTTGACGTAGAACCGAGCTCATTTTCCGCAATGATCGAGTACTGGCCCGAGTGACTGCGCAAAGAGCTTTCGACTACCATTTTGGTTGAGGTACCGAGGCCCTAGAAGCATCGTGCAATGACCTTTTAAGGTATTTAGTTCAAAATGTCGAAATTTCATAATGTCAAGGTTTCATGATGTCGAAATTTACACAACCTAATTTTCCCGGAAACCCCCCAAATACTAGGCAAAAAATGGACGTTCTGAACTTCGACATTATGAAATTTCGACATTATGAATTTCGAAATTTTGGAAGTGATCCGGTTTCCAAAGGTACCGTGACGAGAGCGTCGCCCTGCTCTACCGCCGGCCCTCTCCATAGAGCTGACAGCGCGGTCGGGCTGTAAAATTCGGCCTCGAAGACGAGTCTGAATGGAATACTGAATACGGTGGGACTCGAAGCAACAGTCTAGACTGTCTATCTCGGGACTTCTATTATTTATATTTGAAAAATTAGATCTTAACAGAAGAGCTTTGCATGTCGGCATTTTGGCTGTCGGGGTTTTGTCAAGTCGGGGTTATGGTTGAAATTCTTTTACCTTGCCCCCTCAGCCACTATTTGGTCCTCCAGGCCTTTGATGACAAACGGACGACCAGTAGGTACCTAAACAAACCATTCCGGATTCATAAGGATCTGACAATTGGTCGTGGAGTCATCATTGCGCCAAAGGGCTCGGCTAGCGGATTAGAGAGAATCCCCAGCGAATCGTATTCTCCGGCTCTATAACGAGTATCGTGATCGAACGCTCTATGCGTTGCCCCACCTAGCATCGCTCAGAATCGCACTCAATAGCCAATCCGGGCCGGCGCTCAATGGCTCCTTAGATTGCTCTGATGCAGCCGTGACGTCGAGCTTCTAGAAGCGGTATGCGTTTTTATGCTCGGAAATCGGGAAAAACGTCAAAATCCGGACAGGCCAAAATCCCGACGGCTAGAAGCCCGTGATTTTAAAACCATTTATGGGTAAAACGATCTGAAAATAGCACATTTTGGATGTCGGGATTTGGGCCTTTCGGGGTTTTGGCTGTCGGTATTTTGAATGTCGGGATTATGGCTGAAATTTCCCTTCAGCTTTTCGGCATTTTTTAGGCGAGTGGGCGCCAATTACATACACGCAAATTTTGACTGCGAGGTCCCTTTAAGGGAATCGGCGAGGATCTCTAATTCCATATTCACTCATGTCAGCTAGAACGCCTCTTTGTCAATCTCTGCAAATCAACGGCGGCCACGAATTGTCTTTGAGTGTCTGGGGGCGGTGGTTACGGTGTGAATTTGCCGAAACGAAGAATGAAGCCAAACGTTTATTCCACAAAATAAGGAGGGAAGAAACACATTCGAAACCGGGTAGGGGAGGGGCATAGGGCGGAGATCACACCGATCTGAATACGTGGGGGGAAATGTGTGGCGAGGGGAGTCTGGGTGGGGGTAGGTAGCGGCGGCATCATCACGTTCTAACGATTTTTAAAAACGACCTTGGGTTTCTATATCGCCTAATTAAATGACACTTGCGAGAAAGGGGGGGCAGATCTGCATAAGTTTTAGAATTTTAAAGGGAACGGAACAATATACAGGGTGTCCCAAATAAAAACATGGTTATGAAGATTGTTACAAACTCGCCGTTTGAAGGGCTTCCGAATGGTGTAACTTTCAGTACGATCCGATACTTCTGCATCGAATTAGAGGGGGTGCTTTTTATTGGGACACCTTGCAGGGCGACGGCCCTTCCACTACCCACAGATTTGAAAAGCCAAGCCCCAGAGCCCCGTAGCACTCCGATAGAGACGCACACACACACACGTTGGATAGAATTATGCAAAAAAATACGCTGCCTCTGTAATTGGCAGCCGGAACAAACGCACACATACTCAGACGACTTGCCGTATTCGATTCCAACTGGTTACCGGGGGGTTTTTGGGATGGGATTTTGCGATTTCTCGACTAGAGATAGATCCGGGTCAGGGGTTGTGGGCAACAAAAATGCGGCTTCGGGCTGGCGGTTAGCAGAATTCGGGCCCCAGGTATCATCTGTCTGTGCATTAAAATCCGATACAATAAACTGGCGTTCTAAAATCATTACTTCTAAAATCGTCACTTCTAAAAGTCAGTACGTCGGTACCCCCCCCGGCGCCCAACTTTTGTATCTCAGCTCTCTGTTCATCTACAGGTGTGTAAAGGATACCAAAATGTTCGCCTTGCTCTGGCGAGTATTTTGGTATACATTACACACCTGTAGGATAACGGGGAGCCGAGATATGGTAGGTGGGGGTCGGCTGGGGGGGGGTAAACTGCACCTATGCCTTTAGAAGTAACGTCTTTGGAAGTTATAATTTTAGGAATAGTGATAAAGTAATCGCCAATGAAATTTCCTTACCGCCCGCCCTCGACCACAAATTCGTCCCCCGCAACAATGATAACACACGCCAACAGGTAAATTAGCTGTGCAACGTTAGTAGGATGAGTAGCAAAAATACCAAAAATGATTGAAAGTATCAAAAATCCAAAACCGAAAAGCATTATGCCGGGGATGGGGAGGAAAAGAGAGGGCACTAGAACCCGGACGGATGCGCGCGCGGGAGACAGACACATAAAAAAAATACAAATACAGATTTAAGAATGCGCACGCGCGCGCGGAACAGCCAAACGACCACGAAATCGGAGAACGGAAGGGGGCGGAGACGGGGGGCACACGATTCTGTTTGTTCGATTTGCTTGATATCGAAAAATTTCTATGGGGCTGTGGTTTTTAGTTTGTAGTTGGGGGACGTGGGCTACAATGAGGAAGGTGTGCGCGGCAGAGCTTCGTTGTGTGTACATTATCGCTGCAAAGGGTCGGGTTTAACGGGTTTCTAGACATAAATTTTGGGAACAATTTTGTTTCTTAGGATCTCGTATCTTAAATATACATATTGGCAGTGTTTCTAGTTGGTTTTTTAATCTCTCTAAATGTCGAAACTTTGCAAATTTTGATCAATAAACATTAAAGTATCGGTTTTCGACAAAAACGTCCGAGTTTTCACCAACATTTCGATTTTTTTGAACATTTAAAAAGTTTTAGATACTTTTTCTTGTTCAAAAATTGTTCTAAATCGCTAAAAACACTATTAAAACATTGCCTATTAGTTACTAGGCATTTCTAAAGTTCGACCCCCTCCCGGAAATGCTAAAGAACCAACTTCTAAAAAAATTTTGCAAAATTTTCGTTAAAAGCAAAATAATTTCCGCATTGTTTTAGATGAAGATGAAGGATTTGAGATCTTCGGCGCATTAATAGAACCTATGAGGTGTCGTCTGTAGTGAAAGGAATCAGGAAGGCCCAGAAAAATCAGTATGAAACGGGTTTAGTTCTAAAATTAGCATCAATCATCTCTGCTCCCGCCTGCCTATTTCCGGTCGGCTCGTTGCCAATTATAGATGAGCCTGATCTACTGAACCTTCCTTATCCATTTAAGTCCAAAAGCGGACACTCCCCGCTCCTTTTCCTTCTATACCTTGCTGGTGGGTGGCGGGCTGGTCGGGCTCTTCGTCTGCGCCTTCTTCCCGAAGCCAAATAGCCCGCCGCTCTTCGGCTTGCCCTGGTCTTTCGCCGACGAGGCTGACCCATGGCGCGGCGAGTCCACTTTGCCGGGAGCACCCTGCAAAAATATGCTCCAGAGGGTGGACGCACGCACCTTTGCCCCTGTTGCGCCGAACTTGCCGAAGGCGTTGGCCGACCCGCTGACGACCGGTGCACTTGAGGCTCCGCCCTTCTTGTCTTCGCTGAAATTGAACATTATTACGGAGATCTTATCTCTCTCTCTCTCTCTCTCTCTCTCTCTCTCTCTCTCTCTCGCTATTTCTCGCTCTACCTAAACACAAAATTCCTATAAACGTACAGTCCAAGATTTGCCATATTGCCCGCCAACTGTGATTGGTAACGTTTCGGGTCCACAAGCGCGGCAAGCAGCGTCTTCTGCTGATCCAACTGCGCCGAAATGGCGGCTATCCACTGCGCCTTTTCCTCGGGCCTGAAAAGCTTATTTTTGCGTTCGTTTTCTTTATCGAACTTCGAATTTCTGGACTCCGTTTCCGGCTCTTTAATTCATCAGACGCTACTAAAAATACTGACGTTTGTGAGAGGGCGATGAAAGCGGGCTGCGGCCCGCAGTCGACGTTGTTTGCCGACGCCCCCGCCTTCTTCTCGTCCATTTTGATGATGAACTTCAGCGGATCGTCGGCCACATTTGCTTCCAACATCATCTTGTTCACCTAGACGAGTGGACGGGTTATTTGGTCGTTGGCCTCAGAAATTGTCGTGATCGTTGCTGCCACCCACCATAATTTGGCTCCTAAAAATGTAGGTCGGGTTGCCGAACTCCTTCTTCGGCGGGATGTGATCGGCGACGATGGCCGACTGCTCGAAGAGGAAAATCCGACGGTCCTTCGGCTTATCGAGCTTCCCGCCCAATGACTCGCTGATGGCCAGCGTACCCTAAGAAGTGCCCATGGTAACCGTTCAACCAAAAATGACGAACCTGATACATCAGCTTCCCCTGCGCGCTGAGGTTCCCGTCAAAGTTTTGGAGACGTCCGACTTGCATCATATCGTCGCAGGCCTTGGGGACGACGTGCATTACCTGACGAAGGAACGGACTGATTGAAGTTTGCAGGACAGAAAGCGACGCTTAAAGGGGTAAGGAAGGCCCAAAAATGAGCATGAAACGAGCTTTAGTTCTAAAATTAGCATAAATCCTCTTTTTTGCATTAGCGTTTCCGGTTGGCTCGATGCCGGTTATTGCCTCATCGATTGGACCTTCCTTATCCCTTTAAACCTGATCCTAAGCCCCCGTCCCTTTAAAATCGATAGATCCCAACCAACCTGTAGAGCCTTTTTCAACTCCTTGGTGTCGTCGGCGGCCCGTTCCGTAAATTTTAAGATGTCCTTGAGCAAGAGTTGGTACTGAACAACAAATCCATAAATTAGTCCTTTTCCGGTCCAACCTTCATGATCCGTTGCACCGGCTTGATCAACAGATCACAAAGTGCCACCTTGTGCCCGAGCTTGAGCTTCGTTTCCGCGAAAAACTAGGAACAAGCGGTTCAAAATCCTTTCCTGTCGTGCCCACCTGTTCGAACTGCTCCTGCGCGACCAAGTAATCGGACTTGGGCTTATTTTGGCAGTACTTAACGTAGAGATTCTCTAGCCTCCTCTCCTGCAAGAAAAATCATGTTTCGTGATTTTTTTGGATTGCCTACGTATTTGACGAAAGCTCTCCCAGCTGCATTGTAGTCGGTCATACTTTTCTCAATTTCCTAAACAATAGATAATGCAAATTTTTGGTGAGCCCTACCTTTAAAAATGAATTTGCATGGAATTCCTGGATCTGAGCAATGTTCGCAAAGATAATCTTGTCCTTGCCGACGAGATCTTCTGGTAAACTGGCTTCCTGAAAAAACGGGAATTCTGGGAGGTAGGAGTGGCTTTTCGAAACCTAAGCCTGAGAAGGCCAAAACAAGCCTAAGCTTTTGCCAAGCTTAAGCCTATCCTAAGCCCCGTCTAGGTCCAAACCTAGCCTGCTGCCGCTGTCCCGTTAATGAAAAGCAATCTGGTATCCCCTTCAACAACTTACACAATTTGCCACGTATCCCTCTACGACAGATGCCAAGTCCTTGACATAGTCCTTCTCCGTCTCAACGAGCTCCATCAACACATAGCTAAAAATCGCAGAAACTTTTTTAAGACACGGACAACTGACTGTCTTTTGTGCCGTGCTGTCTCTTGAGGGGTCATCTCCTGCTTCTCTTCCACGTCACCGTTATTTTCCGGGGCTGCCGACCCGCTGGCGGCCGTTGACGCTTCGTCGGCATTCTAAAAACCTTGGTTTCCTTTCTTTCGAGTTTTTGATAGATTTTCCCCTTTAAAAGCGCTGGTTCTCAGGGAGTTGGCCCCCGGCGGCTGCCCGTTCAGGGTCCCCCTCGTCATTTCTCCTCCTCTCAGATGGAGGAGCCGACCCCCAATTAGGCGTTGTCCAAAGGCCTCCCCGCCCCGGGGCCTAGCTTCTGGGCCTCTACGATGAATTGGCAGCCGATTTGTTTGGCCTAGACTCTTTCGTCGCCCCTCTCAATCCTAACCCCCCAGGCACGCGGCCAAAAGCCAATCATCTACCATGGCGGAGTCAGGTCTCGGATTGCTCTCGGATTGCGATATTAGCATCCATGGGTGGGCCCCGTTTGCTGCTGGGTTTTTGCTTCATCCCTCGGCCACGACTACACCTCAATTTTCACGCGCATAAAAACGGTCCGGGGTGTGTCGGATTCGAGGGAAGGCTCTAACGCTGTCGGATGTAACTCAAGCAAACTCGCGAATTAAGGGGGGAACGACGGGATGAAGGGCGCATGTGCTTAAGCAGGTACTTGGCGCATGGCTTGGTCTTGATAAACCGGTTACTAACCTCGGTTGGGCCGTTGCCCGCCGTCTCTGCGCACGGGACCTCGAGATCGAGCATTTGGGGCGACGGACCCGGGGCGAGCTCGTCTGTCTGAAAGATATTTTTGGTCTTTGGAGTTTAACTTATTTTTTAAAACTATGACTTTTCGAAAATATGAATTTTGGGGAAATATGACTTTTCGAAAAATGATTTCTAAAAAATCGATTTTCGGAAGTATGCTTTTCGAAAATGCGTATGCAAATCAGGGTCTACCTGCGTGCTAGGCACTGGTGACACGGAGTGGTTGTGGTTGTTGTTCTGGGTGGACGCCGGTCCGGAGAGGGAGTTCTAAAGGAAAATTATACGTGGCATTTAGCTTTATGGATCCACATGGGTTCGAGAATTAAGGAAAACGCACTCGTTCCGAATGGGTAGTGCTGCGGGCTGGTGATGAGGAGAGGCCGGGTGAGGCTCGCTCCTTCTTGCTGCCGATGAGGCCCCTGCAAAAAGAGCGGATAGACTGAGGTGATTTGTGGTTATGTGAAAAGGGGCTGAACCCCTCGGGGGCCTCCTCCAAAGGGCTCGCCGTTCATTTTCGAGGTAATTAGGATGATATGATGAATGGGAGAAGCATTAACTGGCAAGGCGGAAGACGCTGAATTTAGCTAACACCACGGGTAGACGTTTACTCTTGTGGGTCAGCAAAAAAAAGACAGGTATGTTCTCTTGTCGCAATCTATCAATCTCAAAGACCCAGAAAATGGACATCTAGCAACTTGACATTCGAAAATCTATCTCCGAAAAAGCGATTTTCGACATGATGATGGTCGAAAATCGATTTTTCTACAAAATGTGAATAATCCCGAAAAAAGGTGTTATTCAGATTCCATAACCTACTGAAAATAGTGATTTTGACTTGCTGACAGCTCACAACTCGTATGGTGATGTAAGTCCAAGCCTAAAGCTAAGCCTAAGCTTACGCCTAAGCCCACGCCTAAGCGAAGCTTAAGCCTAGGCCTGGGCCTAAGCCTAAGCCTAAAAGTCTAAGCCTAAGCCTCAGCCTAAAAGCGTAAGCCTAAGCCTAACCTAAGCGCATGCATGGAAAGCATGTAGCCCAATGAAAATTCGACAAAATGACCCATGCCTCGGCCCCAGAAAAAGGATGAAAAGATCAGTAAAAGGCATACACCAAGTCCCTGGCTCCAAAAAAATTCAAATTCAAAATTCAACGACATCCCGCGCGGGCCACTTGAAATGTCATTGGGAGGCGGCGATTCGACCGGAAGCGCACAACTTGCCGCGAATCCGATGAAAAATACGGGCGGCAGAAAGAAGGTGCGATGGGGGGGCAACAACGTGTTGACAAGGTGAGAGGGAATGTGAACGTTTTGAGGGGGAATGGATTGGAGGGTATCGGGAAGGAGAAGAGGAGGATTGCATTCTTCTTGCCCCCCCCCCTCCCTCTCACCTTCAGCGAGACCAACCACCCGCGCCGGGAATCGATGTGGGTAAAAGGGGGCAAGAAAAAGAATGAGGAGGACCAAAACGGGAGGGGGGGAGGTGTGGAAAAAGACTGACGGTCAACGGCCGGTGAAAAACAGCTCGTGTTTGATTTTCCGCAAATCAGCTTAAAGGGGTCAGGAAGGCCCAGTAGAAGAGGGCTTCTCTATAATTGGCAACGACTCAACCGGAAAAATGCTAATGCAAAAAAAAAAATCAGCAGAGAGCGGAACGAGGCAGGAGGGAGCAGAGAAGATTTATGCTAATTTAGAACTAAGGCCCATTTTATGCTGATTTTTCCAGGGCCTTCCTGATCCCTTTAAGAAAACGTTCAAGAATTTGAAACTAAGATTTAACGCCTAAGGTAAGTGAATACCTCTCCAGAACCAATTACTCTCTTTTTGCCCTTTTTGCCCTCTTTTTGCTCCTCTGACTCACAGCATCACCGAGCTGACGTTTCCCGCCTCGGCATTATGAGCCCAGGGATGGGATGAGTCATGTGGAAAGACAGGTCTGACCTTTTATGGAATAGCGTTAGATGAACTGATCAACTTAGGCTTAGGCTTAAGCTTATTAGGAGTAGTCCCTCGACAACTTTATTTAGGCTTAGGTTAAGCTTAGGTTAGGCTTAGACTTAGGCTTAGGCTTAAGCTTAAGGCTTACGCTTAGGCTTAGGCTTCGACTTAGGCAAAGTTCTACAGCATGTTATCCAAGAGCAAAAGGTGACAAGGCGCGGCCGGCGGAAAATGCGGGTCGTTCTGCGGGCGGTCTGGCCGAGAAGCCAACTGGCACGAAAAGACATTCGGGGCAACTTAAAGCAGATTATGTGCCCGGGCCCGAGCCGGGGCAGCCAGTCAATTTTGGTGGCAGCAGCGGGACGCTGCTCGCGTTTTTATACGATATTGGGAAGTGAAGACAACACGCGAAAACGGGAATCTTTCAAAATCTCGGGAATCAGAATCTCGAATTTCCGAAACTCGAATTTTCAAAATATTGGATTTTCAGAATCCAGAATTTTCAGGATTTCGCAATTCGCATAGGCTGGATGCGTAAGCGTGAAATTCCTGCAGCTCTTAATTTTGATTCAGACTAGTGAAGTTTCGAAATTCTGAGAATTCGGCATTGTGAAAATGCGAGAGTACGAAGATACTAGATTCCGAAAACTCTATATTCTAAATTCGAGATTCTTTTTCGAGATTTTGAAATTGGGGATTTTGAAAGTTCGAGATCCTGATAAAAATCGCGGAAACATGTTATAGAAGGGTAAGGCATTCATGAAACGTATGAGCTACACCAAAGCCTAGGCGACGATCTGTGCCGACGCTTCAGCTACGATTCGCATAACCAAGATGACACCAGTGATGAGGAAGACATGTTCTGCGGTGAGGGTGTGGAGGCGCGAGAATCGGGAATCAGAAGGGTCCCCGGGCCCATGCCCTACGGCCACCCGACGTCTTCTTCTGCGCCCCCCCCACCCTCAATTGGGTAGAGGCCTTCCCCTCACTGGAGGGCCTCCCCTGTGTCCATGCTGTGCTCATGGCAGGGGCCCATCAAGTGAGGCCCCTAGACGGAGCAGGAGAAGCCCCCCGCTGGGCCCTCCGCAACCCTCCAAAAAACGGGCCATCTAAGCCGCCGCGCCGCACATGAACACCTCATCGGGAATGGGCAGACGAAGACACCATGGCGCGGAGGGGCGCGCAGAACCGACGACACCATGGAAATCGAGGAGTATGGAGAGTGGCGATGACCACAGAGAAAGTCGGCTGGCCCGAGGCTAGCGAGTTTGTGAGGACGACATGCAGAAATTTTGAGGCAATGAGGGTGAAGCGCTATCAGTGAGGGTGCGCACCAAAAAACCGCAGCATCGTGCGTCGCTGAATAGGTTCAAAGCGATAGAGCTAGCGAAGAATGGAGGGCATCTACAGAAAACCCTACCTAAGACCCAATGCCTGCCAAGGAGGGCCCAGGTAGTCTTAGATCCCACCGAGCAAGAGGTTATAGCGAAACGCGCAGAAAACAGTGCTGGATGAGCGCGGAGGCGGCGGGTGGCGAGCGCCTTCTAAGGTTCAGGGCCCAGCCGAGAGGGCCCAGACGCGATTTAGTGGTTGGGGCCCAGGGTTAGGGCCCGGCCGCCGTCTTTCAACGTCGACACTGCGCAAAACGGAGGGCACCTTTTTGAGGAGACACTGGGCACCAGGGTGAGAGCGGCATAACTCGTTGGAAACGGATGAGAAGACGAGGGTGCGGCGGGGGAAGTGGGCCCCAAGTGGAGGGACCAGGGCCGAGCAAGGGGTGAGGAGAGATGGGGCCCAAGGGCATGGAAAGCGCAAGAAAGACGCGGTCAAAGGAATGGGGCCACGGCAGAGGGCCCAGGCCGGTGAAGGCGGCAGATAGACAACGACCTGGAGACAAGCAGAGGGGGCAAAACTCGGAAGAAGCCCATCTCTTCGGCCGGTGGCCGCACTGAGCCATCGATCTGCTTCCGCTCGTCGTCGCTCTGTTTATTTCGATATTTGGAGGTTCCGATTTGGAGCGTCTCTCCCCCTCTCTGCCTTTACCCCCAACACAACATAATCAACAGCGTCAGCCCCAAGCATCTGGGCCAGCCAGAATCGTAGAGTGAGAGTGCAGAAAGACAGAGAGAGTGAGAGAGGGAGAGCGAGAGATACAGGGGGAGAACTTCAGGTATAAACAACCAATTTCCGCAACGACACTGGTGACAATTTCCAAGCTAGCTTAAGAAATAAACAGCACACCAGTGAGTGATAAAATTTGAAGAAGAGAGAGAGAGAGAGAGAGAGAGAGAGAGCGAGAGAGAGGCGCTCCAATGAGGCACACACCAAGCGTAAAGAAGAAAAGTCGGGCTGGGAAATGGCAGGCGGATAAGTGGCAAAGGGGCACCACGGCACCTGGATTGGAGATAATCTGCGACGTCAAAGTCTGGCGAGATTGGCGTGCTTTGAGCTTTGCTCTTCTCAGCCAAAGGTTATTTATCTCCGCTGGAGTACCTTTAGATTGTTTCCCGAGCCATAAGAGATACTACCTGCAGGCCGGGATAGTTTGTTACTTGTTGCGTATCTTTAAAGGGAACGAGAAAGCCCGAGAAATATTAGCATAAAATGCGCTTTATTTCTAAAATTAGCATAGATATTCTCTGCTCCCTCCTGCCTTGCCCCATTCTCTGCCCATTTTTTTGCCTTGGCTTTTCTGGATAGCGCGTTGCCAATTATAGATCAGCCCTGATCTACTGGACCTTCCTGATCCCTTTAAAATCCCCTTGCGCACTAAAATACCCCTGAACTCACCGCAACTTGGGTATCTGATCGTAGCATTTGTCCAAAATCCTCCCGCACGGCATCGCGAAATTAATAAAAGCCGTGGGGGAGCGCTCAATATCGAACCACAGATATCGATTGGTGGAGCCCGTTGTATCGTGGGAATATATTTGGAAGGTGATGTCGAAATGGGCAGCTATGAGATGCGGCACGGGGGGTGTTTGGAGGAGAAAGTTCGACACTATACGCCCTTCGAGCTGCACAAGGTGTTTTGCCGCCCCGCGTCCCCCTTTCTACATTCGGACAGATCGTCTCGGGAGGTTCTCTCTCTCTCTCTCTCTCTCTCTCTCTCTCTCTCGTGCTCCCCCTTTAAAAAGACCTGTTTCCAGCGTGACGAACCGTTTCTTGGCTAACGATACAACGGACTAAAAATCGCAAATATTTGCCTTTTAACCGATCAGGCACGCTAAGCCTTATCTTAACTACTAACAAAAATACGGGAATTGCCTTGAATTAGGCAAGGAGGATCCCCTATCAGAATCAGAATCTAGAACGCTCAAAATATCGTATCTTCACAATCCCGAAAATTAGAATCTCGAATTTTCGACGTTTCGAATTTCAAAATGTCGAAATTTCCATAGTATGGATCAAGATTAAAAGCTTCAGGAATTGCAGCTTGCGCCCTGCATCCATCCTATGCAAACTTCGAGATTCTGAAAATTCGAGATTCTAATTTTCGAGATAATGAAACTCGAAATGATGATAGACAAGGAAACCGCTCAGCGAAAGTTTCCCGGATACAAATCAAATTTTAACGAAGGTCTCCAGGAACCCCCAAGGCCAAAACGATGTTACAAAGCCAATAGCACCAGCGCAAAATCGCGTTTGGACACCAACCACATTCAACAACATTCGGCGGTGCGCGTGCCAAAAAACGCCCCGCGAAAAGCGTCAAAAATGGTGGTCGTCCGTGTGGAGGGCTCGTGTGCCCCCCGGATTAAGCGCTTTCCATTTTTCACACTCGCCCAACAGCGCCCCGCACAATCATCGGGTTGGACGGCCAGGGGTAAGTAAAGTGCTCGCCGAAAGATATCGCCGACACCTGTGCAGGTTGGGCCGCCTAACCCTAAGCCTATGCCTCAGCCTAAGCCCAAGCCTAAGCCTAAGTCTAAGCCTCAGCCTAGGTCTAAGCGTGTGTTATGTTGTATAAATGAAAATTCGGGCTCTCAAGCGAAAGTGGGCCCCGAAACCAAACTGATTTACATTCAGATTGGTTCCGGGGCGAAAACTGAATAAGATGAAGCGGCGCCGATGGGCCCGTCCAAGATGATGGGACTCTATAGAGACCAATGTGGGAGAAGGGATCTCATTTCGTGGGCTTTATGTGCGGAAAAGAAGCGACCCAAGCAGCCTCGCCCAGCGGCGCTGTTTCCGGGAGAGGACGAGGTGCCGACGGGATGAATAATTTGGAAGAAGACTGGGGGCCGGACGGGGCCGCTTGGTTGAAAGAGGGCCCCGAGGAGGGGGGTTGACAAGTAATGGAAAGGGGATCGAGCACTGAACCTTAGAGTTTGAACTCACGTTCCGGAACGATTTCTGAAAATGGACCGGAACCGAATTTGGAAGGCTGGCTAAAATCAGTGCAGCAGAATAGGAAAGCGAAGTCCAGATCTAACAAAGAGACGTTTTTTAGAAGTCGTCGAATTTTGGATGATAAGCTGAGGCTTCGGCTTAGCTTAGGCTTAGACTTAAGCTTAGGCTTAGCTTAGGCTTAGACTCAGGCTTAGGCTTAGGAAGCAGATTCCAATAAGGATTACATCTGAATGAGAGCTGAAAACAATGCACAGACCCATCCGCAGGCCCCGCTAAATCGAAATTTGTGAATGACAGCTGCGGAGGGGTTCAAGCCGCCGATGAAGAGCCCTCTTCAGACTAAAAATTCTTCCCAGGGCACCCCATTCATCGGGATGGCCCTCGAAAAAAATAGTTAGGGGTCTTTGCGGTTCGTGCCTAGGCCTAAGGACCACTAGGCCAAGATACCAACATTCAAAACGTTGACAACAGATTTGGTCAACAAACAGTTATCGCCAAAAAACTTATTTTTTTGGAAAAGTTGATACAGGATTTTGACAGCTGTTCGCAATTAGCATGCCAATTTTGCGTAATTTGCCAAAGAACTGTCATTTTCGGGTCCGTTGCTGACGATTTTGATGATAAAAGTGATGGAAAGCCCTAATTCAGACTTCATTTTCGCAAATGAAAAAATTTGGTGCGTTCAAAAGTTCAGGCAAAGTCACTTCGTGTGAGTTCGAGTAAAATAAAACAAAATTGAACAAGGCAATCTACCCGTCGCAACGACGAACCAAGTGCAAAAGGGGGTTAGCCGCCGGGGTGCAGGTCTGAAGAGTAGGAGGATGAGGAGGAGGACGAGCCCGGAAATGGATGGGACAGCCCGAATATTTGGCTAAAGGCGCCGGCCCTCCTAGATAAAAAAGAGGGCCCTCGGCGAATCAGATGGAAGACGGCAAGGACGGGGGAAGAAGAGCCCGAAGAAGAAGAAGATGAGGCGGAGGAGGAGGAGGTCTGCCCGCAGAAAGGCTTTGAATTAAATTACGCCCAGGCGCAATTACTCGGCGCGGTCCCGGGGGGAGAAGGAGCAGGGGGGAAGGAGGATGAGGACTTGGAGGATAGCAAGAGGAAGATGTGGGTTCCCGGAAGACATCAGCAACGTCAGCCAGGTAGGTGGGAAGGGGGAAGTTGGAGTACACTGCTGAATTGTCGGGTGCCCCAGCTCGAGCCTAAGCATAAGCATAAGCTAAGCCTAAGCTAGCCTAAGCTAAGCCTAAGCCTACGCCTAAGCCTAAGCCTAAGCTAAGCACAACACACCCTTCTGGAGTAGTGATAGAGATATTAAAGGGCGTTCAGAGAGAAGAATTTATAATGTCGAAGATTCAAATGTCGAAATTTCAGAATGTCGAAAATTCATGGTGTCAAAATTCAGAACAACGAAATTTTTTTGCGTAGGAGTCGGGGGTTTTCCCGGAAAATTAGCTTAATTTCCATGATAAAATTTCGAAATTCTGGAATTTCTTGTTTTCGACAAGCTTCCAAGAGCTTTGAAAACTAATAGAAATATGCCTAGCCTGCGAAAAAACACCAACCTGAATGATTTCCGCTTGCCGATAGCGCTGCCGGCAGGGCTGGAGTCGGGCCGGTCGGTGAACGCGCCGGAACCGCTTGGCTGGTCTGCAAAAGCTTTTTTTATTACGGCAGCGGCCTTCGTTTTTCTCGCTACCTGATAGACCAGTTTTTCCTACAGCTTAACATTTACTGGTTAAACCCGTGTCACTTTATAAATTTTCACTTAAATTTACGCTTCGTTTTTCTGATTAAGTTAACTTCAGGCTCCTTCTCCTCATCCAGCACCTGAATTCGGGCCCAGTGTGGTGCGCCTGGGCGCGGCGAGCAGCGCCGGGTCGCCTACGTGCGTCGCCGTGCTCGGGGAGTTCAACGGGGACTCCTTCGAGTCCCGACTCTTCGTCGTCGAGGACGAGAACCACTTCTTCTTGATGGCAAACGACCATCGTTTCCTGGTAGACCCGTCTTTCCCTGGCTGTGGGCTGGGGCTGCACTCCTCCTTAGCCTCATGGTCCACAGACACCGTGCGTGATCTGCGCATCTTCAGGCTGAGCCCGCGCAGAATTTGTGGTCGTTGCGTAGACGCCGACGAGGTCGACGTCGCGGCCGTCGCCGGCGACGCTTGCTGACTGGGCGACGGCAGCTTGGCGTTTGGCTAGAGCGGTGGGGAGTAGGAATGTTGATGATTTGAGAACATTCAAAGGAAAAGGAGCAACAAAGGGAATCGGGTGCTTGCGCATTATCGGGGGGAGACCTAACTTTTTTGAATAAGTATATAAATGCTAGTCATTTAATAGAAAGTGTTTTAATAGTGTTTTTAGTGTTCGATAACTTGATTTCAACCAGAAAAACTATCTAAAACTTTCAAAAGGCGCCATTATGATCAAAAATCGGCCATTTTGGTCGAAAAATCGACAATTTGGATATTTTTTTAATACAAATTCGTAACGTTTTCACGTTTAAGGATAGCATTTAAATTTGAAATAGGATTTGAAACGGCAATAAGTATTTTTAAGGGTGATTCCTCGCCGAAGCCATCAATCAAAACCCGAAAAAACAAGATGGACCAAAAAAGCAGTCTGTTGAACCCGGCGGAACGCGTCAAAATACGCCGTCTGCTGGAGCGCCTGAGGGCCAAACAAGTTGAACTTTTTGTTGAAGGGGTCCCCCGGGAAATCAAGGGCCAACTATTGATTCGAATGCAGCCGGAAGTTATCTCTCTATGTCTCTCTACCTCTCTCTCTCTAGCTCTCTCTCTTTCTCGCTCTCTGACTCAATTTCTCACTAGATCAAGTAGTGCAATGGTATAATGAATCCGATTATCAAACTGTCAAAAATAATAATGTCGAAAATCATAACGTCGAGATTCATAATGTCGAAATTCAGAATGTCGGCATTTTTTGCATCGGATTCGGGGTTTTCCGGGAAAATTAGCATATGTAAGTGTCGGTATTCTGAATTTCGACATTACGATTTCGAAGTTTTCAAGGAAACCAATGAATGCAAATACAAGTTATCTAGTCAAAAAAATCTAGCTACCCTAACTAAAAATGCAACAGAAACTAGCCAAGAAACTCGTGAAAGGCCCCCGTGATTCGAGGCCCATTGATCCCACTCAATAGCGCGACAGATTCGATTGCCGGAACCAGGCTTGGTTTTTTTGGGTTGGGCCGGGATCGGGTTCGGGTTGGGGTGGGGTCGGGTGCGGGTCCCCGGGGGGGGGCGGGGCCGGGGCCGGGGGGGGGGGGGGCCCGCCCCGGCCCGGGGGGGGGGGGGGGGGGGGGGGGGTGGGGGCGAATTTTTGTTTCTAGGTTGGGTCGTCGGGGGCGTGGGGGGTGGGGTTTTTTTTTGGGGCAATACCAACCGAAAAGGGAAAGAAACTCGGGTCCCTTTTTCCTTTTTTTTTTTTGGGGGGCGGGCGGGGGGCCGGCCGGGCGGGTCGGGGTTTGGGGGGGGTCGGGTCCCGGCGGGGGCCGGGGGGGGGGGGGGGCGGGCCGGGCCGGGCCCCGCGGGGGGCGCCCCCGGGCGGGGCCCCCCCCGCCGGAACCTATCGACCGCCTCACGCGACAATACCAGGAAAAACGTCAAGTTATGCTAATTTTGAGGTGTGGGGTGTCTTTGAAAGAGCAAGATGAATCGTAGTCACTGAAAAATATGGAGCCTCAGCCTCATGGCACGGCTCAGATTACTAAGACGGTTTTTATAGAAGCTTCTGAAAATGCGAGGGGCATTTTTCGCTTTTTGGTTTATCTAAGCAGGTCTGGAGGGAAAGAAAAATCAATATAGTAGGATTTTTGCTTAAGCTTAGGAGTTTGTCTTAGGCTTATGCTTAGGCTTATGCTTAGGCTTAGGCTTAGGCTTAGGCTTAGGCTTAGGCTTAGGCTTAGGCTTAGGCTTAGGCTTAGGCTTAGGCTTAGGCTTAGGCTTAGGCTTAGGCTTAGGCTTAGGCTTAGGCTTAGGCTTAGGCTTAGGCTAAGAGGTCGACCATGGAAACCGGCCATATCGATGGGCTTAGGCTAAGGCTTAGGTATAGACCCGGGCTTGGGCTTAGGCTTCGGCTAGACTTCGGCTGGCGCTCACGTTGGAACGTGGCGTGATACATACAACAGATTGAACACTCAACCTCAGCGCCAAAACGTGGGGTGATCGGCAGGTGAGGAGGACGAGGTTGAGGTCTGGACCCCGAGATCCCATCTACAGTGGTGCGTTTTTGTAAGCAGACCTCAACGTATCCCTGTCACCCCGCATTAATCTGCCATTTTAGGCCGACGTGCAAACAACCTAGTGCAGGCAGCTTTAAAAAACGGGTCTTTTCAAAGTAGCGAAAACCATAATGTTAAAATTCAGAATTTCCAAGTTCCGCGATGTCGAAATTTTGAATATCCAAATTGCATAATGTCGAAATTCACTGAAGCTAATTATGCCAGAAAATCTGGCTGAGGAGTTGATAAAAAGTTGTTAGCATACAGGGTCGAGGCCGAGCCGGGGAGTTGTGGGTAAAAATTGCCGACAACCGGCACTGATTGATTTTGCAGCCGCCGGCCCAGTGTACAATGGTTTTTTTCGGTTTTCAGTTGGGGGGACTGGCCGGGGCTCGTTGCGGGTCAGTTGATCGCGAGCCAGCCCCGCTGTTCGTTTTCGCGTTTCCGATTTCAGCAGAGAGTTAGCAACGGCTGTTCTTGATTTACAGTACCCTTTGATTTCAAGGGAAAATCATAATATGGAAATTCATAACGTCGAAATGCCATAAGGCCGACTTTCGGATTCGGAGGATTCGGTGGTTTTCCGGGAAAATTACCTTATGAAAATTTCGACATTCTATATCTCAACATTATGAGATCTCGGCATTATCAATTTCGACATTACGATTTGCGACATTTTGAACGAAACCGTGCCTAAGCCTAGGCCTAACCTAAGCTTCAGCCTACGCCTGCGCCTGAAAAGCTTTGTAAAACTTAAATTCGTATAAAATGGGGGTTTGAATGCCCCTGCAAAAAATGCGGCGAGCGGAAATGGCCGAGGACAAAGCTTCCCGCCCGGTGGCGCCGTCTGAAGTTTTGAGGGGAAGGCGGCCGATGCTGGGAGGTGAATTCAGGGTTGCCAGCCCCCTAATCAAGAGCTCGAATCTGGGCCCAAGAAGGCTGCGACGGGGGGTCCCAATTTGAGATGAGCCACAGAACTCTTGGCGGTTGCCAATTAAAATAGTCGTAAATGTTGGAATCTTGAAGAAAGGCCGTTTAAAGTGGTTCAGAACCGAGATTTTGTTGTTTAGAGGGCGATTCAGGGATAAGTAGAAGGCTATTGAGAGAGAGCGAGAGAGAAAGAGAGACGGAGAGAAAGCGAGAGATACGGATATAGAGAGAGCGAGAGAGAGAGAGAGGGCAAGAGAGCGCGAATCATTTTAGTGTCACAGCCCCCTTAAAAGAGACATCAGCGAACGAAGCTTGGGTTTCAAAGAAAGTAACATCAACAGTCGGGTTCCAAAGAACGTAAAGATGCGCCTAGTGATCGGTTTCGGCTGTGTGAAATGCCAGGAAGCCAAAAAAAAACGAAATGGTGGATTGATGAGGGTCGGTCGAGGGATGATCGGGGGTTGGATGGGGGGCTCCGAGTGCCGTGTGGGTCCATGAAGCTGGCAGAGAGAGAGAGAGAGAGAGAGAGAGAGAGAGAGAGGGAGAGGGATAGAGAGCGTTGGGGGAAGCCGGGGCCGGCCCGTCTTGCGCAAACATTCGGCGCGCAGCAGCAGCGCATTTCACCACTGCCATGGCACACCGCCCCCCCCGGCCCGGCCAATTTGCGGCAAAACATCTGGGCCTGAGGGGCAGTCTACAGGGTTGCCGCGGAACAATTTCGGCTTTTTTTTGCAGCGTGGAGATGTGCTGGTTCATTTTTGTGCCCTAGAAGGCCTGAACGATCGAAATGGTTTTTGCCACATTTTGCAAAAGTCGTTAAAATTAAAGCTATGTTTCCTTGGATTAATGCGGATAGTTCGGCCGTGAGAGAGACAGCGTGATAGCGAGAGAGGAGAGAGAGAGAGAGAGAGTGAGCGGGCGAATGAGCGACAGAGATAGATAGGGAGAGAGAGAGAGATAACGATAAAAGAAATAATAGCATCCATTTGTATTCGGTTTCCTAGTGAAATTTACAAAAATAACAAGAAACTGCAAAATTTCAGCATGGGCCGTAGTGATGTGACATATTAGAAATTCATGTTCTCCAGCTGCCTTTCCAACGCACGAAAACGAGCCGTGGGACCCGGTGCTTTATCTTGCGTGTGTGTTTTTTTCTCGGCCTGGAGTTTTCCGAATTATTGAGTGAGGTCCAGGGAGGGCTTGAAAGTTTAGTGAAAGAAATTCTATCAATTTCCTTTGAAGAAACACTGAATTCCAATTGTAGCTATTTGGAAAATATTAAGTATTAGCAGGCTTGGTCATTTTCGGATCGGACTGGATCCGGATCTGGATCTGGATCGGATCCGGATCCGGATCCGCCGTAGGATCCGGATCCGGATCCAGATCCAGGGCGGATCCGATCCGATCCGGATCCAAGGAAATGGATCATGCAACCGAGTTAAGTGCTAATTCTTAGATGCAAAGATCAGTTCTGCCTCGGGGCTATGTATTTTTGCGATTAACATGACCGAATCAGCATCAGAATCGAGAATATTACTTCCGGTCCCTTTTTTCCTCGGATCCGCATTGGATCCGGATCCGCTCGGATCCGGATCTGGATCTGGATCCGGATCCTACAGCGGATCCGATCCGGATCCTTACCGATCCGGGTCCGTCGGTGAACAACCCTGAGTATTAGTATTAGGCCGAAAGTCGAGCGCCGAATTTGTCTATGGCCCCCGCGGTTGGCGAGCAATTAGCGACACTGCGGGGGAGGCGGTGTGCAAATTTTCGGAAAACTGCCGCGAGATGGCAACGAGAAATTCAACGTCAAAAGGGAAACTAAGTCAAGAAAAATATGCTTAAGAGAATTCGGGAACGTGAAAATCTCAATATAAAAAAATTGGATCAGCCGAGACCGTCCAAGCCC